CAAGATGTTCTTTGGAATATTCTCGAATCATGCTGATCATCAGCTTTTTCTTGTGGAGTTCATGTCAGCTCAAGTGCTGCTGTCATTAAAGGAGAACAAACCAAATACTGAGACATTCTGCATGTCATTAATTTTCCAATTAAATTTTCCCCTCAAAATACTATTCTACTATAATTTGAAGTGAAAAGTACTGCTTTGAATTTTCACTAGTGGTCTGACTGAGAACCCCACTGTACAGTGTGTTTAAATCTGTCTTTTCCCCTGTGTTTTCCTCTGGGAAATTAGTATTCTAGCTCCCTCCAAATCTTCATCCTGACCAATGCTTTCAGAATTACTGTGATTGTCATTATGGAACTACTTTTCTAACCGATGTCTAGGTTCCTGACGTAGTTTCGCTAATGTAAATGACTGCACCATCTCATTTGCAAGGAGAGGACTGAAAATTGAGGCAGATTCCCAATTCCATCAAAGGTTGTCCACCCAAGAATCCATTGCGTTTGTCATGAGCTTAAACTCCAAGGTTAAATGGTGAAAGAGAATCAAAATTCTTCTCTCAAACTGCGGCCACTATAAGCCAAATGAATAAAATCAAGAAACTTTGAGGCCTTAAACAGAGAACAGGTGTTGAATTTTGCCATTGGTCTGAAATCAATAATGAATAAATGACCGAACATTGGTGTTTCAGAAACATTCAGAGCTGTTTTATGAGTAAAATCAGTGTAGGAAGTGCTGTAAAACTGAAAACTCTAGTTGTACTGCAAACGCCCTGTTACATATGAGACTAAATTGGGTCTACACAAACACACACTCATACAGATTCACACACTGCAGGTTTCAGTACTATTCGGTGAGAATCAGTGAGGATTCTGACAATTTGACAGTCTTAAGGGAGAGAGAAAGTGACAGTAATAGAGAGGGAGAGAGCTAGAGAAAAAAAACAAGGAAAGATTACATGTCAGACTTCATCAGCAACAGGAAAACCAGCAGTAAATGAGTTTGCGTGCATGCATCAATGAACTCGACTTGCATATTCTACGCACACAAATATACGAATAAATGAACTCATTGTATTTATTTATTTGCGTGCATGTGTTGTTTGTGCGGCCTTCAAATTGAAATTCCCTACGTGTTATGAAAATATGGGATGCTATGGGATGCGCTCCATGTGTAAAACGCACCATCAAGGTCAGGAAACCACAGTTGACTTTCATAAAAGACCAACAACTTCTCACCAACCCAAATCAATAAATTCTCTTCTCTTATTACTAATCGATCACTATTCTTTTCAGACCCAATCAATCAGCTTGGACCTCAGGTCACAACCATCACCAGGACGAGATCTGACAAGAGCCCTCAACCCAATGGATTCCAATAGTAGCCATTACCGACAAGACAATAGAGAATGAGCTTATTGTTTCAATCATCTAGCAATCCACCTGAGCATCCTCTACTCGCTTCCTGACTCGCTGTACTTGACTTTAATGGCCCGAGAGCTCAAACTGTTTTATAATGAGGGCTTTCCCACAGCATACTCTCCTCATTATGCACACAAACACACACATACACACAGATAGCGACAAGCTTCTTATTGATATTGTGCCCAGTAAAGTGGTCCATAAGAAACTGGGAGGGGGGGTCTCATGAGTGCGTTTTATTCGCCGGGAAAACAATACAACTATATTTCATACATGTAAACACTCAGGAAACCTATGAACTTCCACAGTTAACCCCATCCAAGATTTTGAGCCGTTTAACAGCAACGGCTGACTCTGAAAAATGCACCAATTCCACTCAAATTCAAAAGCGCTACAGACTCCGAACTCAACTGCAATATGGAGTCCAATTTGAGTGTGGATTCTGCGACGCAGGCTATAAATTACACATGCATACTTTTATCAGAATGCCACAGATGTGACTTTTAGCTTCCCACAGATCAGGGGCATCAGTCATAGTGATTTTGTCATTGTAGTGATATGTGAGTTGACCTGCTGATATATCAAGGCAGAGAAGGTTCTGACAGATGTGTTGTAGTTCATTGAAAAAGGGAGCTGTTCTTTCAGCACCACTCACAGTCAAATAGCCACATCACATCAAAGTGCATTTTAACATGTATTGGTTCTTGTGCAGATTCTACTTCACAGATTTTATCGACAAGTGGCTAACCGATGCCCCTGGCCATTCAGTAAAGCCCATGAGAGAACATGCCTTGTTTATTAATAGGCCATCCAAACGCTGCCGGTAATGGCATGCGCTATAGGCAGATCTCTTTGGAAACTTAAGTAGGGAAGTGTGTGTGGGTCCATCTTCAAACTCACCCTATAGGCAATAGGAGCCCCACCATGGGACTCGATGCATTCTTTATAACCACACACACAACAACAACACAATAAACCCAGGCTGTGCCCCATACCACATTCAAACCTGAGTGACAGTTTCTTTAAGAGGAGTCAATGGAGCTGTCAAAGACAATTTTCACCAGCATTTCATCTGTGTATTGTAGGCACACATTTGAGGGAATAAGCTAAAGTAATCATTAGCATTAGGAGATTGGCTTGTTTATACTGATAATGCATCAAATGAAGGAAGTCTATGAGTTCGGATGAGAATTTTTGCAGGTGGCACGAGGTAAAAGAGGGCAATGTGAATTTATGAATCTGCATCCATGACGAGCATGATCCTCATGCCTTGGGTGTGTTCTCACATGAGACTTGGATTGTAACAGCAACACTAGGCCAGCCAAAAGACTTTTCACGCTATGCTTAACTGGGTTAAGGCCAATTTTAACCCTGGGTTAAGCAACTTTCACACTTATTTCGAAATAGGGTTAGTAAGGCTTTTAACCCTGGGTTATGAAGCCGTGCTTTTGGCTTTGCAGTGCTAACATTTAATAAACTGACATACAGTGAGAAACGATGTTATGCTAAAATATTACAATGAGTTGTTTAGCAACAGAGAACCAGTTATAAACGAACAGTTCTTACCTCATTAAGTATTCATGAGCTTTGTATGTTGCATAAACTTTCATGTTATGTTTAGTCTCCACAGTGAGGGGAAAATATAGAACAGCTACACAAATGCATTAACCGGTGATAATAAGAAAGTATTAAAGTATTGTTTTGCTGTATGCTTTATAAGGCTTAAAACAACCAGAGCAGATCTACATGGCAACATTTACACTACACGCGCTGTAGTTGTCCAATCAATTTTACTAACCTCATACAGGTGCATCTCAATAAATTAGAATGTCGTGGAAAAGTTCACCTTTCCACGACATTCTAATTTATTGAGATGCACCTGTAAATATGCAAATAAGTACGTCGACTCATCGTTTAAAAACGTACAGTGAAATATCCCAGTTTAACGTTTAGCCAATATTAAGAATGACAATTTCAAGCATGGGAAGCCCAATAATGCGGTATTAGAATGCTCCGGTAAATTGTTCAGCATAAGTCAACCAATCATAAACTAAGCAATTGCCTGCCTCATTAAATATTAATGCAACATAAACTTGCACGCACTTAACTTTAGCTTCTGAGGGGGGAAATGTTGAAAATGTTTAAAAGGTTGTGCAGTGACTCAAAAAGTGAGGAAGACACCGTTTTTTTTACAACACTGGTCCGAAAAGTCCATACAGGACGCGTGCAGTATTTGTCCAATCAATGTTACTGACCACATAAATATGCAAATAAGAACGATAACCCGCTGTTCACAAAATGTGAAGAGTGAAATTTCGTAACCTGAATAATGACTAACCCAGGGCAGTAAATGAGCAGTGGGAAACAGTGAACAAGATAACCCCGCAGGGATTCAGTTAACCCGGGAATAAAAATGACCATGGGTTTACAATTTCAAGTGTGAAAAGCCCACGAGAGGTCTAATGTGTACCAGCCGGTGTCGGCACAGATTCTCCTGCGCACTCTCTCTCGCTCACTCTTTTGCAGACTGTGATCAGACGCCACTGCAGTGTGTGTGCGTGTATAAAAGTGAGTGTGTGTGTGTGTGTGTGTGTGTGTGCGTGCGTGTTCTGTCCGTACCATCGTAGGAGGGTGCAATACTCCCGCAAACACCGCCTTTAAACAAGCCATCTCAAACGCTGCCGCACATCACGTCGCGTTTTCTAAATTTAAACTAAATTTATTTGGAGTCAAACAAAACCAAAACGAGGTTATATAAAACAGTGGTTTGCCAATAGACCGCACAATTGGAATAAAATGTTAAACCCTTCGTTTTGTCAGTAATAAAAACACCACGATTAAGACCTTGTCTTGTTTTTGCGCGTATGCAAAGTCCGCGGCTCTCACTGAGATCTTAACTGATTCCCACCTGAAATGCTGTTTTAGGTGTGGGTAAATCCGAAGAACAAATGTCCGTTATATTGTACCATAAATAAAAAAAAAAAAAACCCAATATAGATATTTGCGTATTTGTAGAACCATTAATACGTTTCTAAAATATATATTTTTATTTTTATGTCAGTGAAGGATATGTTCGCCCTCATATCGGATGTTTTACTTACTAGTTTGTTTAAAATTCTTATAAATATCAATGAAGATTCTTACTGGAGTCACATTACTGCAATACATAGCCTAAAAAGAAACACCCTGCCCAGACACCTTGATTTTGAAAAACAAGTAGGACAGCAAAAAAGACCACACTTAAATAATGCCACAATACATCAGATCCTACTGATACAAAATAAGGCTCATTGTCTTCTTTCACAAAACATAATTGCCTGTTTATTTTATTACATTTAGGTGAAATATGATCCGGACATGTTGTTGACAGGTCTCACTCTGTAATTCTGCCTTGATGAAAATGAGTTGTCATTATTTAAGCAACACACTCCACATTTACACGATTTCGATATTTTGTAAAGGTTAGAGTACATAGGCATCTTCACGAGCCGAAGCAAATCAACTCGCCGCCCCCGCATCACCATGAAACCTGTCCAAAAACACACAAAACTTCGCATGGGTAACTAAAACAGAGCGCGAGCTTACCGTCAGCCCACGTCCAAAAATTGATCCGCGGTCAGTCAATAAGACACTTGGAAAAGGAATGAACGCGCATCACGATGAATGAGGAATCTGACCAAATCATCCATCCGAACAGAAAAATTCACCAGCTAATAGTTTATTCCAATACAGACGCTGCCTTAAAGAGAATTCAGAGGATTTCCAAGGGTCTCTATGACTTTAGGACATCATAATGCATTAAGAACTCAAAGGTGCTGAAGAAGGACCCATGGCTTGACCGTGCGCCCTCGTCCAGCGACAGTCGGTCGCTCCTGCGCATTCCGTGGCGCGCCGTGCGCTCGTCGGTCAGAGGGATGCTTTGAGATGTCTCAGGTATCCGGCAGCTAGAGCTCCTGTGGGGGTTTCCTCTTCAAGACGGGCTGTGTGCGCTCGCTGCTGTGGGAGAACTCTCCATGGTCCTAAAGACCGCCTTAAATCCAAGACTGCGTGCGCGCGCGCGCAACGACTGTGGTGGGCTGCATGTATTTAGGAACATCTTCAGTTAAAGGAATAGCTCACCCCCCAAAAATAAACATTCTGTCATCCTTTACTCACCCTCAGGTCGCTCCAGAACTTTACTTTTTTTCTTCTGCAAAAGGTAGAATGGTTATTGCTTTTTCCCCTCACAATTAAAGCATGTGACTACATGTGACCAGTGGATTTCAGGCGCCAAAATGCAACTGAAGTGAAATTACAGTTTTGTGGAAGGAGATTTATGCTGTAATTCACTGAAAATCTTACACCTTTTAAATGTCATTAAAGGAATATTTCACCTAAAATGAAAATTTGTTTAATCTACTGATCCTCAGTCCATCCAAGTAATCATCATGACTCCAGTCCATCGATTAACATCTTGTGGAGTGAAAAGCTGAGTGTCTGTAAAAAATCTATTATTGAGACATTTTTAACTCAAAACGTTGCTTCCGGCTAAAATATGAGTCGTCTATCCCTAATATTGCTTTCTCCAATTGCCTTGAGGAGTGAAATATATATGGATCAAGCACAGTTTACAAGCAAAAACAGTCCAAAACAAATATGTCAGTGGATGTTGATGTGAAAGGAAAACAGTGGGATGGACTTTTTCACTGGAAAAAACGTTATCATGAATTATTGACTCATATTTTGTCTAGAAGCGACATTTTAAGTTAATGGCAGTTTTATTACAAACAAGCAGCTTCACAAGATATTAACTGATGGACTGGACTTGTGTGCTTTAAAGTGGATTAGCTGTTTGGACTCTCATTCTGACGGCACCCATTCACTGCAGATCGGTCAGCAAGTGATGTAATGCTACATTTCTCCAAATCTGTTCTGCTAAAAAAACAAACTCATCTACATCTTGGATGGCCTGAGGCTGAGTACATTTTCAGCACATTTTCATTTAGTATTCCTTTAAAGCAATACTGTGGTTAAGCTGGACCTCATGGAAACAGAATACTGTAATTATGCTAATGTGATTATGCTTATAATTAGAGTAACCATAATCACAGTAAAATGTGCAGTACACAAGCATGTTTATGCTTTAATTGCATTTATTCCACCATGTACTATAGTGTTGCCGTGTTACACTCGTGAACAGGTCTGAAATCATAGCAGAATAAAAAAAGCCATATGGCCGCCAGCAACTGAGAATGCTGTCCTGGTCCATGTGATCAGGGGGCCCCACTTGGGTCCTTTATGGTATAGCCTACTCATCTGGCCTAAGGAAAAGGGGTCCACTAATAAAAATGTTGCCTGAAGCCCTGTGAATTTCAGTGACAGCTGTGAGAGGCCACCCTTTCGGGGACAACAATAAAACGTTTATTTTTACAGCTTTATGTGACATGGACATGTGTTTTACCGATGGTAGGAAACACTAAAAATGAAGACACGGGGTATATGTAGGGTAAAAAAAAACACTAAATAAAAGAATCCCTTCCAAATACAAAGCATTCTGCAACTGAAGCAGGCAAATAATAAATAGCTGCAACAAACAGACCTACTCTTTTTGAAATTTTTGAACGAATATTTTGTGTTTTGGGTAGGGGTAAATGGCATTGAAGATGTAGACATGTACTCTTTTTTTATGCTCTCTGATTATTGCCAATAATCAGACTATTGGTGTACATGTAAACATAGCCACTGGTCATATCTGAATGCACATGAATGCAAATGAGATTTGACAGCTACTGCAGAAGGAAAGCTTTTTCGGTGAATAACAAATTCAATTTCAGTCTGAAGTTACTGCATGACTTCAGAAAACTTGATATAGCCAGAAGTCATGTACTACACTTACAGTACTTTTATGGTGCTTTTTTATAGAAGCCTGTTCCAGATCAATCGATAAAAATATATATAAAATTATACATGTATATATATTTTTACATATTAACAATGACCATATACATGTATGGCACGAGCTGTCAAAAAAAGAGAAAAAGTAGAGGAGAAAATGGGACAATAACAATAAATCTACATTGAATAAATAATAATTTATTTACAACTGGCTCAAATCACATCATGAAGAGTAAGAATATAGATTCATTGCATGTTAAATAGCAACCAGGACATTATGGAACAATTATTTTTATGTTCCAAGAAGAATCAAAGTCAGGTTTGGAACAACAGGAAAGTGAGTGAATGATGACAAAATCATTTTAGGTGAACTATTTCTTTAAACTTATAGAGAGTGTGTGTATGTGTGTGCATTTTATACACGAGTTCTGAAAAGAGACAGCCTTGAGACCCAGGTGTGTGCACTGGTGTGTATGTATGTGTGTGTGTGTGTGTGTGAGTGGGAGAGAGAGAGGGAGAGAGAGAGAGAGTCTTTTCCAAAACACTTTGCTGTCCTGTCCAGGGTGAGTCTCTCGCTCTGTGAGTTGCATAACAATGAGGAGGTTCACAGAAGAAGAAAAGCCCACTCAGAACACAAACACACACAAACACACACTCTTTCTCTGGTTTTGCCTGTTTCTTTACCTCTCTCCCTCTCCCTCTCATCCATAAAACCACACACATTTCTCTCTGTATATTCCTCCTGCCCAAGGGAGAGTGTTCTCTCCTGCAGTTACTGTCCACGTGTTTTTATAACTTCCAGTATCTGCTGCCCACTCCGCTGATGTCATACAGCTCAATCTCTTGTAAGGCTGATTCTGAACTGCACATCTACAGTAATCTCTCTCCACACACTGCACTCGAAAACCTGGATCCAGAGACTGGAAACTTACACCGTTTCACTTTGAGGCTGGTCGAGCATGAAAAACAAATGCAAAAGGTTTCAATAACCCCCCCCTCCCCAAAATATTCAAAAAAATATTAATTTAATAAATAATGGATTTGCTGAAAGTGTCCACTTTTAAATCATAATAAATGCATTAATGAAACTGGATAAAATCTTTGCAAAACCTCTACAAATCGGCTCATTTCATGAATGCTGCAATACCCAAAACCACAAAGTAAATGTACTTTGAATGGTCTGAGATGTTGCAACATTTATGGAGTTTTTTATTCAGATTATTCTTTAAAAAATTCACTGTAAAAAAACTTCAATAAAATTTACGGTAAAAAAAAATGGCAGCTGTGGTTGCCAGAATTTTACCGTAAAACGGTTTTAACTTTAATTTACATTTAAATACCGTAATTTCATTAACTGATATAATGTTAATATACCAACCTACTGAAGTACTGAAATCTGTTTTGTACCTTTGTAATACACTGATAACCACTAAAAGCAGGTGGTGATGAAAAAGTCACATGATGAACCAAAGCCCATCACAAGCAGCTTTTAAATATCAACATATATAGAAGGTGCACAGTGTCATTCACACAAACAATAAACACCATCATGGTAACACACATAAAACTGAAATAATGCAATACACATTAATTTAACAAGATTAGATGTAACATACAACCCTAATGTACAAAACTGATAAGAAAAAAAACTAAGAAGAAACATAGTTATTACAACAACAAAAAAAACAAACATAAAATTTGAAATGTAACGCAGAGAATTCTGGGAATGTCAATTTACAGCTATTCACTGTAAATTATATATTCTTTTTCCACTTCCAAAAACGGTATACTACCATACAATTACATGTAATGTCCAGTTTTTCACCGTATATAGTAGGGGAACTTACCGTTAACCATTTAACAGGTTTTTACTATAGCATTTTTACAGTGTTTTACCGTTAAATTCACGGTCATTCTTTACAGTGTTTTTACAAAATCCAATACAGTAGCCTGAAAAAGTATTTTAAACCTGATTTTTACATACTGTATAAAAAATATTTTAATCCGCAAACTGATGATGTTAGATATTTTCTCTGAATTTTTTTAAGGATTTTACAATTACTTTTAACCAGCAGTCTCAAAATCATTTTAGTGGACGTTTAAACAACCTCCCTGTGATTAAATGTCTCTCTAAATGATGTTAAAAACATATACTGTAGCATACGCTAGAATAAACAATAAAAAGGTCTCTTTCCACGGCCTTGCAGTTAGTCCGCTGATCTGTTTATCTGTCTGCCTCTTTGTGTTTCCATCTGTCTGTCATAGTGTCTGGGTCTAATATAATTTTAACGGAAATTAGAACGGAAAGGAAAATGTCACAAGAGGTTTTAGCAGCTATTTTAAGCCCTCCCCAACAGAGAGTATTAATTTTTCATACAGTAGGTGATTTTTTCAGGACTCTTAAATGGTCTTTTCTCATTTCATCAGCTTTGTAGTTGAATAAATGCAGGAAGTGAGGAGGCAAGGACAGACACAATGCAGAACATGTTCAAATAGCATAAATGAGAACATGTCTGCAGTATCTTCAATGTTTTGCAGTGAAAGATTTTTTAAAGAAAGAAAAAAAAAATACATGACAAAAATGTATGACATGTCAAAAATCTATAGGAAAACAAAATTGAATAGCAACATTTCTGTGCCACTAGTACCACCAACTGGAATTGCATAAATAATGACTGGTTTCAAACAGGTTTCCAAACAGTCATCTGTCATTGTCATTGTCAGCAAACAGATAGTCCCGCCCTCAAATTAGTGCCATTTAGGGAAATCATAGTAATCGATTACTTATATTTGTTTCTGCATAATAAGCCGAGATAAAAGATTAATATGCTGGGATAGACATAAGAATAAAACTAAAACAAAAACATTTTAAATGAAGATAGAACACTATTACTATACGTAAATCCTGTAACTGCATAGAAGATTATTTTATGACTGCTGAGTGAAATATGAAGAACTGAGAAAATTTTATCACATGGCTTTATAATGTACTACAATAACACATGGCAAAAATACAAGAAAAATATCAGCTTTATTAGTTCAAATGA